TCTCTTGAGAGGTTGACAAATTTTAGCTACTTTGCTTACTCATAAGTGGCTGCCACAAAGAGTCATCGTGACGGTAGTATGTGTGTACTTCACCTTCATGACAAACGATGTTCGCTTGGAATACGCGAGTCGCTTGTCATGATCGTGACGTCGTTTACTCTCAGGTCGCCCTGTTCGTGGAAACTTCAGTGGGAAATGTACGTTCTTCAGTTCTATTTGAACCTCTTCAGCGTTGTACTTGCACAACTAAGGTTGACGTTGCACTGCCGTTGCATCGACGCATCTACGTCTACACCCCCTCACTTCTCTCCATTTACATCTTCACACGCTCACATCCGCAGATCTACCTCTCCACCTCACCACACCCACACATCTGCACATCTATATCACATCTGTACATCCACACTGTCGCTCCTTCACATCTGTCCTGTCTTTCTTTCTTTCTACATATCTTTTCTCTCGTCTCTGTGCATTTACATCTTCGCACGCTCACATCCACAGATCTACCTCTCCACCTCCATACATCTACAGATCTATATCGCGCCTGCACATCACACTGTCACTCCTTCACATCCACCCTCTCTTTCTCTCTTTCTATACATCTTTTCGACAGTGCTGGACAAAAAAATGTCTCGCTCTCGGGCCAACCGTCGTCTAGTTTCCCTAGATAGCGAAGCTATGGGGTTCTTACTTCAATTGACAATGAGTTGCCCGTGCGTGCTTTCGAGACAGGTTGCTGTTGCTGGGTGCTGGCGCTGGCGCTGGTGCTGTGAGCTGGCTGTGGACATGCATTGGTGGAGACAGGTTGCTGGTGCTGGTGTTGTCGGTGCCGGTGCTGGTGCTGTGAGGGCTGTTGGCGCTGGTGCTGGGAGCCGGGCGCGGGGTGCCCGTGCTGGTGGTGCTGTGAGCTGGCTGCGCACGTGGGCTGGTGCTGGGCGCCGGGTGCCGGCGCTGGTGCTGTGAGCTGGCTGTGCACGCAGGTGGTGGAGACAGGTTGCTGGTGCTGGTGCCGGGTGCCGGCGCTGGCGCTGGTGCCGGGTGCTGGTGCTGTGAGCTGGTTGCGTGCGCGCTGGAGACAGGTTGCTGGTTGCCGGTGCCGGCGCTGGTGCTGGGGCCGGGTGCCGGCGCCGGTGCTGGTGCTGGTGCTGTGAGCTGGCTGTGGACATGGTGGAGACAGGTTGCTGGTGCTGGTGCTGGGTGCCGGTACTGGTGCTGTGAGCCAGCTGGCTGCGCACGTCGTGGAGACAGGTTGCTGGCGCTGGTGCTGGGCGCCGGGCGCCGGGTGCCGTGCTGGTGGTGGCGCTGTGAGCTGGCTGCGCGCGTGGTGGAGACAGTGAGGTTGCTGGTGCTGGTGCCGGGTCGAGTGCTGGCGGTGGTGCTGGTGCTGTGAGCTGGCTGTGCACATGGTGGAGACAGGTTGCTGGTGCTGGTGCCGGGTGCCGGTGCTGGTTCTGGGTGCTGGGCGCCGTTGCTGGTGCTGGTGGTTATAAGGTGGCTGTGCACGTGGTGGAGACAGGTTGCTGGTGCTGGGCGCCGGGTGCCGGTGCCGGTCCTGGTGCCGGGTGCCGGTGGTGCTGGTGCTGGGCGCCGGTGCTGGCGCGGTGGTCCAGCTTACGTACGTGAGGGGGTCTATTTTCGGATCTTCTTCTAAGATGGCGGAGCTATGGGGTTTTTGTTATAAATAACAATCAGCTGCCTGCGCGCGCTTTCGAGACAGGTTGCCGGGTGCCGGCACCGCGCTGTGAGCTGGCTGCGCGCGTGGTGGAGACAGGGTGCCGGTGCTGGGTGCCGGTGCCGGGCGCTGGTGCGGGCTGTGGTGCTGGTGCTGGGTGCGCGTGGTGGAGAGACGGTGCCGGTGCTGGGTGCTGGCAGTGCGTGTGGTATAGAGACAGCGGGCGCCGGTGCCGGTGGTGTTAGCGTGTTGTCGCTTGAGCGTTCTTTGTCTATTAGCGCTGTGGGTATTTACACTCTTCAGGTTCTGTTGTGGCCGACAGCTGTGTCAAGGGCTGTACTGTTTGCGCGCATACTTTTCCACGTATAGTGTTCTATGCGCAACGTCAGGCTCTCAACCGACCATTGTTTCAGCATGTTTCAGCATGCTACGCGCGCAATAGTCGTGCTGGATACTGCTTGGCCTTGGGCGAGTGAAGCCTGCGGGCTTTGCCGTATGTGCACATACTTTTGTGCGCATAAACTTACATGCGCAAGGTCATACGGCCTTATCGTTCTGCAGATCGTTGCTTCAAGCATGCTACAAAGTCAATAGTGGCGCTGGATACTGCTTGGCCTTGGGCCAATGACACTTACGGGCTTTGCTGTCTGCGCGCATACTTTTGTGCGCATAAACTTATATCAACTCCTCGAGAAGGCGATGGAGAGAGAAAGATCATACGTTGTTTTCCCCAAATAGGGATGGCGATGGGGTTCTTGCTGCAAATAAGAATGAGCTGCCTGCGCTTTCGAAAGGGTGTCGGTGCTGGTGCTGGTGTTGGGGCCAGGGCGCTGGTGCTGTGAGCTGGCTGAGCGCGCGTTGAAGACGGGGAGGTGCCGTCAGCTGTCTGCGCAGGCTGCGTACATTCTTGTTCCAGCCAGTTGCGTGTCAACAGGTCGTGGATTCTGCCTAGCTATCTGGGTCTATGCTGGTGCAATTTTTATTTTTGATTCTTTCTTGTAACCAACCTGAGTCACAGGGTTCCAAAAAATCACAAAATTAAAGGACGTTCAATTAGAATGTTGACGCAGGAAAAATAAGAGACACAGAAAGAACAATCATTGGGATTTCCCGGAAGGATGGAATGGTTCACCACAGGATTTCATAACAGTTTCATTGCTCCTCCTGGAACAATAGAGTAAGGTCTAACCAAGGAATTTATTATGTTGGTTGGTCTAGCACATACAGAAGAGTATGCAAAAATCTTTCTAATCGAGGTTGCCCAAGCTTAACTATGTGGTCCTGCTTGAAACAACTCCCAGTCCTAAGCTTAACACCCAGTCCTGTTGAGCGCTGGGAGTGGGCCTCGTGGTTTCATTTGACTGACTCGCTTTGGACGCTTTGGACCTTAGCTCTTACCTTTGTGACAGCTGCGTCTGAGGTCACTTTGAGGGAGGGCAGGGCTTAAAAAAGCAAGGTTCACGTAGACAATCAATACGCCGAACCGATGAATCTTCTGAAGGACACCCCTCAACCAGGAGTTTAATACGCCAGGATGTTGTTATGCATGAGTTTCTTCAACCCCTCTGTGCCAGGATTCCATAAAACACGTTGACGCAGGATTCCATAACTGTTCAAATCCCTGAAGTTTTTTGGCTGCCAACGTTGGCACACACAAAATTAAGGAAATGACCTCAGCTCGAAAGGATTTTGTAAGATAAGATCCTGCGTCAAACCTTTAGCCAAACCACTATCTCTCTACACCCGCCATCTGGGGCCCATGCCGGTGTAATCCAAGGTTGTCCCAAAGAAACATGTTGGCGTATGATTGGAACCTGTGCGGGTCAAAATTCTTTGCTCAACACCTGGCACGGTTTGTAACTCCGCCGACCTTGGCGCTTTCAATTGATGCACGACGACACATGTCCAAGGAATTATCTCTCCATTGATCTGAAAGATCAAGGACTCTGAGTCCCAAGCCTCGTTGGCTCAAATCGTCTAGAAACCTGAACCGTTTAAAAGAATATGATGTCCCTGCCGAACACCCTCGGCCTGCATGGGCAAATTCATCGAATGAACAGGCCTGCCTGCCAGTGCCGTGTTTTTTGCCCCACTTGCTTTAGATTGCTGCCATGCATGGTTTCTTGTGGACAGCGTTTACACTTGGTTGGAACATGTCCGGCTTGATGGGTTCAGCAAGGCAGACTTGTATCGTTTACCTCACATCACTATCATGTTCTGGCCTGTGCAGTGCAAGCCGTCGACTTTCTAAAAGTTCCTCCATGTTTGTTTGCCTGGGCTGAGTGCTGAAAGTGTTCGCCTTCGCTCCAGCCCAGATGTTTGAAGCAGTCTGCCGAGATGTTGAAGCTAAGGCATGTTTGTTTTCTTAATGTACTGTTTTCTGTGTCATGATGAGCCGCAACAGCTCGGCTCTGGCAGTGCTGCTCGCTGCTGCCTTCAATGTGGGGCTGCATGGCATTCGTGTAAAGAGCCTAGCTGGGTTTTAACTTTTTAACTGACAATCATTCTTCAATTTGTACGCCTAAATTAGGGCTTAGAATGCCTCCGGTTTGAAATTTCGGCACCAGACCAGAACCAGCACCACCGTGCCTCTTCTGAGAAACCCTGGAGGGCCTTTTTGCGCGACTTGTGTTGGGTTCATCATTTTGGTCCGTTTGGTTTCTTACTGTCAGACTCTTTGGAGCTTGGAAACACTAGCATTTGCAATGTGCCTTGATCCATCTTGATCCTTTCTCCACAGCCATTTTGAGGAATTGTGCAGGGAATCAGGGACTGTTGCTGCTGTCTCGCTGAACTCGACGCGAAGCTATGTCCTACAACATGGAACTCTTTCACGACGATTTCGAGGCTCCATCTGGAAGGTTGAGCAGATGGAGCTTGTTTAGAAGATTGACTAGGTCTG